TAATAATAATAATAATAATAATAATAATAATAATAATAATAATAATAGTAATAATAATAATAATAGATAGCATTTGTATAACGCAAATTCCCGCTCAACAGCAAGCTCTATGCGCTTCACAATCTGTACTATTACCCCAGCAGACCTGAGAGCATTCTGAAACAACCTCAACTTCCTGGGAAGCATACAGTGCAAGAGGCCATTTATAGGCACTAAAAAACTAACATACTGACAAGATCTTTCGCTGTCTACGGCCGGGTACCAATTCTCACCTGGGTGAAGAGACGAAAATTCGTGTAAAGTGCCTTTCCCAAGGACATAAAGTCGGGCTCGCGGCTCGAACCCCCCAACACGCAACCTCACGATTTCGAGAAAAACGAGTTTGAAAATTTGACGATAATAAAATCTCAACAACATGGTTTTTAAAAAAACAACAAAACAACAAACAACAAAAAAGAACGTTAATATCTCGATACCAAATTAAGTTACGGGTTATATATTTATAGAGGTAAAAGACCGGTTTAAAATCTCACTACCCATATCAATAACTCCATTTCGACCTAAAGTGATATAGTCATTTCTTGCGCTCAGCCATCGACGTATTTTGTGTGGGAGGCTATTAAGAGCTAACCAATGCCTGGCCAGGTAGGGTGTACTGTACATATATTCCTAAACTGGTCAAGGCAGAGACAAAAAGTCAAAATAGCCATGGAACCTGGAATCTAACCGTGGAGGGGAGGTGTGCTGATAGCTCAGTTGGTATCGTTGCGATACACGCTGCGAATGGCATTGATCCTACTTTGCGCAGGGTGTTCTTGACCTTTTGTTATTGGGGACGTTTTCCAGACTGGATTATCCTTCTCTTAGTCATATCGGAGACGGATGTTTAACTCGGAGATTCCTTCTCTTGCATTGCCCCAATGATGTTAAACTTGTTAAACATTTATCAATCATTGAGTTAGTGTATAAACAATAAAGAGGAAAAAAAGCACTCAGCGTGAAAGTGTTCGCAAGAGGAGAAAAAACTGTCTCACTGTTTGAAAAGAACCCAATTGTAGTGACCTTCTCATGCTTTTGAAGTACATGTATACACAAGAACGGTGTGATGAGGTGCATTTGGTTGTGTGTTTTGAGACGCTTGATATGTTTCGCTCCGGTAAATTTATAAGTATAACAGCCTCGAGGAAATCATTGCACAAGGGAGGAATAGCATAAGAAAAGTTCACTAAAAAGGTCTTTGATTTCGTCATAGGCCCACTGCGTACACAACGTTGATACATTTTGGACAAATTCCCCTTTATTTTGGAAACGTATGTTTGATGACAGGAATGATTATGTCTGTGATCTTGTGCTCCCTAACTAACGACCCTTTTGCTTAGACTAGATGGAAGTGATGCTAATGGTATGCTCTGTGAAACCCGGAGAATCGTCTCCATATAATTAATATAAATATCTGGTGTCTTCTCCCTCCCCCTCCACCACACACACCCACCGGCAGGTGTCGTGGACGAGGTACAGAAGAGCCACATCCGCCGACGAGCGTCCTCCATCGCCTGGTTCAGACAGAAGCCTCTCAAAGCTCGCAAGATTGACGCCACCATACGCCGCCGAGTCGTCACCAAGACCACCAGGGTTTTGGTGGGTAACTCCTCTGGCATTCTTCTTGTTCTTCTTCTTTTTGCTCTTATTCTTCTAATTCTTTGTTTTTGTTCTCTTGTTGGTGTTCTTATTTCTCTCTCTTTTTCTCTTTTTCTATCTATCTATCTATCTTTCTATCTACCCCCCTCTATCTGTCTCTTTCTTGTGTGTGCGTGCGTGCGTGCGTGTGTGTGTGTGTGTGT